CTGTCCCTCAGACCTTGTGGGGGGGGGGCAGACTATATTCTGAAGAAAAAAAATGAACGAATTCCTATGCCCCACAATTAACCCAGAGATGCATTTTAAATAAAAGCACACATTCTACTCATGTAAAAACACGCTGATTCCTGGACCGGATTGAGAAGGTGATTGGGCCGCATCCAGCCCCCGGGCCTTAGTTTGCCTACCCATGGTCTAGCCCCATCCGCCACTGGCCCATAGGAACTTGTGAAGAAGGAGATGCAGCCCTTTGGTTGGAAAAGGTTCCCCAGCCCTAGTTGTGCAGGAAAGCTTTCTCTCTGAAAGGCTGCCTAAATTGGCACATGCAATTTTTATGCAGATTTGTGCCCTAGGCCTTTTGAGGATCCAGCAGCGATATGGACAGGATAAAAAGGTAAAGGTACCCCTGCCCGTACGGGCCAGTCTTGACAGACTCTAGGGTTGTGCGCCCATCTCACTCAAGAGGCCGGGGGCCAGCGCTGTCCGGAGACACTTCCGGGTCACGTGGCCAGCATGACATCACTGCTCTGGCGAGCCACACAGAAACGCCGTTTACCTTCCCGCTAGTAAGCGGTCCCTATTTATCTACTTGCACCCGGGGGTGCTTTCGAACTGCTAGGTTGGCAGGCGCTGGGACCGAGCAACGGGAGCGCACCCCGCCGCGGGGATTCGAACCGCCGACCTTTCGATCAGCAAGCCCTAGGCGCTGAGGCTTTTACCCACAGCGCCACCCGCGTCCCATGGACAGGATGGAATGTGACTAAAAGACTAACAGACTGAACCACTGGAAGCAATGAAATTAGACTCTTGTGTCTTCTGTACGCTTAGTTAATGCCTCTTGGGTGTGCTACTGAAAGTGAAGGTCCCTGTTTTTCTATCCTTTGAAACCCTGTCCTGGTATATGTATTTTTCCTCCCCTTTTTGGCACAATAAAATGCATGGCATCAAATTGCAGGGAGTGTTAGAACTGGAATTGTATGCACAACTCTAAAAATGATATTTAGGAATGGTATCAAAGTTGGATTTGGGGGGTTTGGGCCACAGCATTCCATGTTGTCCATTTTCCCTCAGCCCGTTCCAAATGGGCCCCCTCTCCCTCAGGAAGTCATGTCCAACCAAAAGGCATTAGGTTTTACTGGGTTTCAGGTCTGGCTACTGCTGCTCAAAGTTTATGATAGCATCCAGGGACATCAAATTAATGCAGCTGCCATGTTTTACCATGACAGCATTGGGCTTGCCAAACGTAGATAAACGTTACAACTATATCATACGCTTAAAGCACATTGCTTTCCTTAAAGAATCATGGGGATTGTAGTTTAGCTTTCATAGAGCTCCAGTTCCCAGGATCCTTAACAAACTCCAGTTCCCAGGGTTCTTTGGGGGAAGCCACATGCTTCAAATGTATGGAATGGATGGTTGCATGCCTTTGGTGTAGTTTCCTTCATTGACAAATTACTGACATTGTGACGGAAACCTTTTGGTGTGCTGACTATCACTTCTGATGGCCTACAAGCAAGGCATGTATTCCTTTAATAATGTGCTGCCCCCCCAAAAAAACCCCCCATTTAATATCTATTTCCTCACTTAAATACTGGTTAGAGTTCTTTTCTATGGAGTGGCATTTTCAACACCAGCTGTTCCAAGGTAACCTACAACAGAAGGATAATTTCTGTGTTTTGGTCCACTTAGAGATTTTCTTAAAATTTTCACTGTTGTTAAAAAGAACATTACTAAACAACAGAACAAACAAGAAAAACATTTCCGTGTTTTTCTCAATAGTGAACAAGTTATGGACCAACATTTACTGTACCTAACTTTCCTTGAAAATTTTATCCAGAATCCACTGAACTTTAGCCTTTAACTCAATTGTCTTTGTTCTTGTTGTTGATTTAAAAAAATTCCCTGGGTTTTTCTGAATGTCTTAAACCCCTTCTTAGCTGACAGCAGCAGATGACTTCATTGCCTTGCTAAAACCCCTCTTTATATTTGAATTACTTTTTGCAGGAGAGAATATGCTCGCTGCTAATGTGCAAGTCTGTTTGGCACCTTCTGATTTCTCCAGACTTTCCAGTTCAGGAGAGCTGAGAATGTTGTTCTTTCCCTTTTATTTACATTTTGGGGATGTTTCCTTTAAAGAGGAATTTGTAAATCTTAGGAATGTAGCTGCTCTCTCTCTCTCTCTCTCTCTCTCTCTCTCTCTCTCTCTTTGTCTGTCTGAAGCAGCAGAATTCTCTCTTGAAAATGTCAGCAAACATTTAAGTCAGCTTAGACGGATATCCCCATGGGTGAGCCTTATTTGTCAATTACAATTCCATGAGAGATGCCAGTTGCTGTTGCTGCCTCTATACTAAATGTACTTGAGAATATGGGGATAATTTTCTGATGTCTTTGTTTTTCAGCGCTGCTTGCCTCATGACAGAACTCACTGTCCTTACAGAAAAAGGAATACTGCAAAATCTGTACAGTGGTACCTCAGGTTACATACGCTTCAGGTTACAGACTCCGCTAACCCAGAAATATTACCTCAGGTTAAGAACTTTGCTTCAGGATGAGAACAGAAATCGCGTGGCAGCAGCGGGAGGCCCCATTAGCTAAAGTGGTGCTTCAGGTTAAGAACAGTTTCAGGTTAAGAACGGACCTCCGGAATGAATTAACTACTTAACCCAAGGTACCACTGTATAGTTATTATGATGCTGTAGATACAGGGAAATATGAATCTTCATGTTTAAGAGGCTGTTTCTAGTCCATAGCGATTGTCTTTTGCAACATGAATTCCTCAGTGTTAGGCTTAAACACCAGAGGTGATTAGAAAGGGGGAGGGTTGGCATTACCAGATTTGAATACAGTGGTACCTTGGGTTAAGAACTTACTGTAATTCGTTCTGGAGGTCCGTTCTTAACCTGAAACTGTTCTTAACCTGAGGTACCACTTTAGCTAATGGGGCCTCCCGCTGCCGCTGCACTGCCACCACACGATTCCTGTTTTCATCCTGAAGCAAAGTTCTTAACCCAAGGTACTATTCTGGGTTAGCGGAGTCTGTAACCTGAAGCGTGTGTAACCCGAGGTACCACTGCATTCCATATCACAGAGATATTTGTTGGTCAAGAGTAGGGATGGGAAATTCTGTCAGTTTTGATTTCTCCAAGCTCCTCAGTTTTGTAGTCTTAAAGTTTACTTCTCCAGCATCCGTTTGGGATTTTGTTTTGTTTCAAAAATGAAGTCCTCATGAAAACTGCATCAACATTTTAATCTGAATGTTTGCAAGCGATTTATCTGAATACAATGCAGTTCTGAATGCCATTTCCACTATCCTATGACATTTTATGCACAATATACCCTTAATATAGGCATCTTTGCACACTTTACCTGGCTGGATTGCTGCGTTGCAAAATTCAGAGAAGAATTCGAAGGATGGTTTTGTTTTGGTTTGCATACTGTTGTGGGAAGTGAGAATTAGGTAGGTTCGTCTTTAAATGAGACCTTAACCCAGTTTATCCCCCTTCCCCTGCCAGGAGAAAATTCATGTGTTTGGTACTGCTGCACTGGAGTGCAGAAGAAGTTTGGGTTCTTTCTGCATGGCAGCTGTAAACCATACCACAGTGTAATGGTCTACAACAGGGGTGGCTAACACCCTCCAGATTTTGTTGGACTTCAGTTTCCATCAGCTCTAAGAAGCATAGCCCGTGTTCAAGAATGATGGGAGTTGTAGTCCCACAATATCTGGAGGGCCACAGATCCTACGCCCCTAGTCAATAAGATCTTCAATACTGCCAAGTTTCAAGAGCAGTGTAACCTGAATGTAAACATCAGCGCATGGTATGGAAAAAGTACAGGCAAAATTATTTTGCCTCCTTCTTCACTATTGGCAAACTTGATCTTAAGATTGGTTGGCTGTTTCCATTCACAGCTGCCATCGAGATGTGTGTGTGTAATAGCTTTCTCCATGGTCAGCTCCCAACTCTGGAATGATAACTTTGGTACAGCTGCACTGGAGTGCAGAAGAATCTTGGGAGCTTCTTGTGTGGCATAGTTCTACTATGGAATGGGCACCTGGTTAGCCACTGTGAGAATAGGATGCTGGACTAGATAGGCCATTGGCCAGATCCAGTAGGCTCTTTTTATGTTCTTTTCTCCCCCTAGAGATATTTCTGTTGGCCTCATTATTGGCCTTCAAACATCGAAGATGTTTTTGGTTATCTAGGTTTTTGTAGTTTGATAACAGGATGATGTTGACTTCTCAGCAGCAATGTTTGGAACAGTGTTTTAAGGAGCTGTTAAAATTCCCTTTTAATGTTGTGTTTTATATTATGGTTTGTGATATGATGTTTATATATATGTTATAAATATAACTATATTTATACTATATTTATATAACTATGTTATAAATATAACTATATTTATAGCTATCCTAAATGAAATAAGTAAAATAATACTCAAACTTGGCAGTCCAAGAGAGAGGGAGTACTTCTTTTTTGACAACAGGGTTGTAGCCAATGTTTGTCCTATTCAGAGTAGACCCATTAGCATTAATGCACCTAAGCTACTCATGCCTATTCATTCCAATGGGTCTACTCTGTGTAGATCTAACATTGGTACAACCCTTAATTTAATTTATGGAGCTCACTGCTACAAGATTCAGTACTCAAACCATTCTGCCCCTTCCCAGCGCTGACAGTCAGCTGGACAGAGAGTTAATCCTTTCTATTGCACTTTGTACATATTCTCTAAAGTTTTCTGAAATCTGACGTGTATGGCAGAAATACCATACAATCCAGATTAGAGTCCATGTCCTCAGGAACTAGAAAACGCAAGAGGGTGCTTGAATGTTGCAAATCTGGGGCTAAAGGGTTATTGTGTGTGATTTCCAGGTAGGCATTAAAAAAAACAGCCTTCAGAATGTAAGTAGCTATTACACAATTGAGGCCTCTAATTCTATTCCCTTCTGCTTTCATTGTGTTTTGTCCACTTTAACCACAGATGTTATAAGCGAAGTGCGCTGCCTATTGCATTCCTGCTGCTGCATAATGTGCTCCTAATACAGCATTATGAATAGTTTGCTGATGACGGCAACTTTTCTGTACAAGAAAATCAGACCGCAGGATGAGAGCTCAGATTGAATTATTCTGCTCCAGGACATGAAAGACTGTGATTATATAGCCAGGTTGGTCCTTTCCCCCCCTGTAGAACGTTGACCCCCTGCTGATCCCTGACGTTTTCTATTTTTATACTCACTCGGGAGATCATCCTTTTCAACACTTGATGACTAGAGCTTGTTGTCATGGAGCAAGAGAATCCGTTTAATGCGTGGCTCTCTTGGGCTGAGCAGAATGCTTCCAAGAATGCCATTCAGCCATTTCATGTTTTCCGCTCTTTTCATTTGTGTCTCTTATTTTTGAGCGAGGTGGGAAACCAGTCACTTGTACAGTAAATGTTAATTTAGGGTTCGGGAGCCTAATGACACTTCAGTTGTTTCTGGACACAAAACTCCTCTCAACTCTGGCCATTGGCCATGCTGTCCGGGGAGCTGATGGGAGTTGGAGTCCTATTGAGGGCCACAGGTCCCCCATCCCTGTGACAAACCACAATTTGCCAGCCTGAGATTGTTAGGCCCTATCTGCACTATACATGAAAAGCAGTATCATACCACTTTAATCGGCCATGGCATTTTGCAAAGTATTCTGGGAACGGTAGTTTCTTAAGGGTCCTTAGAGTTGTTAAAGGTAAAGGTAAAGGGACCCCTGACCATTAGGTCCAGTCATGGCCAACTCTGGGGTTGCGGTGCTCATCTCGCTTTATTGGCCGAGGGAGCCAGCATACAGCTTCCGGGTTATGTGGCCAGCATGACTAAGCTGCTTCTGGCGAACCAGAGCAGCGCATGGAAACGCTGTTTACCTTCCCACTGGAGCGGTACCCATTTATCTACTTGCACTTTGACGTGCTTTCGAACTGCTAGGTTGGCAGGAGCAGGGACCGAGCAATGGGAGCTCACCCCGTCGCAAGGATTCGAACCGCCGACCTTCTGATCGGCAAGTCCTAGGCTCTGTGGTTTAACCCACAGCACCACCCGCACCCCAGAGTTCTCTGGGAAGAGAGATAGAAAGTTATTCCACTCTGAGAACCATAGCTTTATAAAGGGAATAGAGGTCTCCTAGCAATTCTCAGCACCTTTAACAAACTACAGTTCTTAGGATAGTGTAGGGGAAACCATGACTGTTTGAAATAGTATGTTACATCCTTAAATGTATCATGCAGAAGGGGCCTTAGTCTCAAACAGAGCCACAGTTTCATGAATTAGGTTATGATGCAGAGTACTTCAACTGGTTAGACCATATCTTTGGTTTGGTTATATCTGAAGGAGCATCTCCACCCCCCATCAGATGTCAAGGAAATAAACAACTATCTGACTTTTAGAAGACATTTGAAGGCAGCTCTGTTTAGGGAAGTTTTAAATGTTTGATGTTTTATCGTATTTTTAATATTTTTAATATTCTGTTGGGAGCTGCCCAGAGTGGCTGGGGAAACCCAGCTATATGGGCATGATATAAATAATAAATTATTATTATTATTATTATTATTATTATTATTATTGGCATAGAAAGCGAGGACAGCAGTTTTCAGAGTGTAGGAAGAATGAATCAGGAAATGAGGGTGTGTGTTTTTAGCTACGACTGTTCTAATGGCTACATCCATACAGCAGAAATAAATCCGGCGTTTTGCTCCTGATTCTAAACTAAGGGTCATAATCACCTTAGTCACACTCACAAAGTAGACTCATTGAATTGAACATGCATGACTAACTTGGGTCTACTTCAATAAGAACTTGTCTAGAACCCTAAGTCTCTACCCTACTTTCTTCGGCATCAAGCCCCAGTCTGGTTCATGAAAACACGTTTGTTGCAGTTGTACTGATCACTCATTCCGCATTGTCTGCACAGAGTTCTTTGTTTGTTTGAAGGAGTTATAAACCACCAAATATCCAAATAATGCAATAGCAGTGCAAAATAATAAAAATTAAATCATATTAAACCAATGCTTGGGAAATATCCCGGGGGGGGGGGGGGGAGAGACTGACGGAAGAGGAAAATTTTCAGCATCTGATGAAATGTATCCAGTCGTTGATGCCTGTCTGACCTCACTGGTCCATACGTTCCACAGGGCAGGTGCCAATGTGCTAAAGTAACTGGTCCAAGCGACAAAAGAATGACTCTCCAGTCATTGGAGGCTAGTACCTATTGGGACTAGGGACGCGGGTGGCGCTGTGGGTAAAGCCGCAGTGCCTAGGACTTGCGATCGTATGGTCGGTGGTTCGAATCCCCGCGGCGGGGTGAGCTCCCATCGTTCGGTCCCAGCTCCTGCCCACCTAGCAGTTTGAAAGCACCCTTAAGTGCAAGTAGATAAATAGGTACTGCTTTATAGCGGGAAGGTAAACGGCGTTTCCGTGTGCTGCTCTGGTGCAGGCTCGCCAGAGCAGCGATGTCACACTGGCCACGTGACCCAGAAGTGTCCTCGGACGGTGCCGGCTCCCGGCCTCTAGAGTGAGATGAGCGCACAACCCTAGAGTCAGACACGACTGGCCTTCGGGCAGGGGTACCTTTACCTTTTACCTTACCTATTGGGACTGATAGGGTGGAAGTCTGGGAGAGCAGAAAATCGCATCTGCGCAGACACAGACACCGGAAAGCATGTTTGCTCAGGCACAGGCACTGGAAATTGTGGCTGCGCACGCTCATGACCTGGCCCACGGAGGCATCTCTGCTGGAATGAACCAGTCCAGGTGAGGGAAACCTTGCTGACCCCTGGGTTAGAGGCTCTTTCATTGCTATTCCCACGTTTTACATCTGGCCCTGCCCATCATTGCTATGTGGGGCTCTGGAAGCCTGCTCATGGGGAAGTGGTCCTGGAGCTGAAAAAGGTTTCCCACTCCAGTTTTTGGCCATGAGACCGCTTGTGCATATGACCTCTGTGAGTGAATACAAATGGCACCGTAATGTGCAAATAGAGTAAAAGCCCAAATTGAATCCCCAACCAGACTGTGCTTTGCAGGCTTCTGGATTTGATTTTAGAGCGAACAGGCCAGCAGGGAAGCAATTCATATACCTAACACATTCCTGCATTATGTTTCTATGGATATTACTTGCAGCAATAATACCTTAATTGGACAATGTACTGTAAATTGGCTCTGAGTCTGTGGGATGTCTTGGGCTATTGTCTCTCCTAGATAATCTGTTTTAAAGCTTAAAAGATTTAAGCTAAATAGATTGATTCCAAATATGTATCTTTAGTTCAGGCTGCTATTAGGACTAGTTGAAGCATCGTAAACAACCCCCTTTGTGCTCAAGATTTGATGAAGGAAAGGCTTTGCTAGAGCAAAGTCGGCTTCTAATCATTTGATAGATTATTTGGCCACGGGGGGAAATCTAGCCAACATGAAGCACACTAAAGTCCCGCAGATTTCAGCAGGAACGATTGTGTGTGCTTCTGTTTCCCCAGTGAAGTCAATGGGAAATTGAAGGTCTTAACTCTGAGTGGACTGTGGCCCTGCTTGTCTTAAGACGTACAGACAGTGGTCTCTTAAAATGCTACAAGCCAGGAGATGTCGCTGGTCTTAAAAATTAGGGTCTTAAAAGGCAGTTGTTTTCCTCTCTCCTTTAATGCATGCTTCCTGCTTCTGTCTTATATTCTAGACAGAAATTCAGTAGGTTAAGCTTTTTCTCATACAGTGGTACCTCGGGTTAAGAACTTAATTCGTTCTGGAGGTCCGTTCTTAACCTGAAACTGTTCTTAACCTGAAGCACCACTTTAGCTAATGGGGCCTCCTGCTGCCACTGCGCCGCCGCCACACGATTTCTTTTCTCACCCTGAAGCAAAGTTCTTAACCCAATGTACTATTTCTGGGTAAGCTGAGTCTGTAACCTGAAGTGTCTGTAACCTGAAGCATCTGTAACCCGAGGTACCACTGTATGCAAAAGCAGTTATGTCGCCATGATTGTCCTCTTGCTAACTGCGTGTTCTGCCGTGCCCCTGCCTACAGAATCTCCAAGTATCCCTATTTTCTAGGGATGCCCCGATTTAGAGAAGCCGTCCCGGTTTCTAATTTGTTGCGTGGCAAGTCCCCTCCCCCCATGTGAAATGAAAACACCGGACACATTATTTAAGGTTAATGGGCGTAAAAGGCCACAACTTTATTGATTACAGGAATTAGAAGGTATTGGCCTTAGGCATTTGGCTCCTATCGACTACCTGGCATGGAGACCGGGAAGGGTTATCCACCGGCCGTGGGAGTCCTGTTGAAGTACGCCAACTAGGATCCCATGGGTGTCACCGCTCAGGGGTGTGCCGGAGGCCCTTACCTCCCTAGGTTTCGGACAAGGCAACGCCCCCCGGAGTCCTTTACCGGACTACCCTTTTTTTCATTGGGGGAATGTGATGGCGTTTCCTTCCCCCCCTTCTTTTGCATAACAATTACCCCTGCCAATGCCTAACCGCCAATACCGAGGAAGTTGTGACGTTTGCTACGAGGTAGGTGAAAAAACCAAATGGCTGGAAATGCGCCAAGTTGGAAAAATTCCTACCAGGCCCCTTGCGGCGACCAACCGGAGTCCATAGCAAGGTCAGACCTAGCTAAGCCTAAAGGGTGGGTGGGATGGGAAAAACCGGCCAGCTGGAACGGGGCAAAGAGGGTGGTCCCCAGGCGTGCCGGGTAGTCGATAGGAGCCCAGGCGTGCTTGGCCTTAAATGGGCTAGGCCCACGCCTCCCCAACCCGCCGATTGGGGGGCAGGGTCGCGGGCACGCCCGGGGATTCCCTCGTTCTCGCGGTGGCTAAAGGCCAGCCCCCTGGGAGTGGGAGGGGTGGGCCCGCAACCCCACCTCCTCCCAAGCTCGGAAGTGGCTATCCCAAAATGTCCTGTTTTGCCTTAAAGGTAAAGGTACCCCTGCCCGTACGGGCTAGTCTTGCCAGACTCTAGGGTTGTGCGCCCATCTCACTCTATAGGCCGTGGGCCAGCGCTGTCCGGAGACACTTCCGGGTCACGTGGCCAGCGTGACATCGCTGCTCTGGCGAGCCAGAGCCGCACACGGAAACGCCGTTTACCTTCCCGCTTGTAAGCGGTCCCTATTTATCTACTTGCACCCGGGGGTGCTTTCGAACTGCTAGGTTGGCA